TTACAAATAATGAGTTTCTGATATAAAGGGACATGTTTTGCATCTACTGGACAAACATGGAGCACTTCTTAAACCTGGAGGTACTTCGGCATAAAGTCTGTTTTTAGCTGCTATCTGTGCTAAGGTGGAATTTTTTATGTTTTCGTTTAAAAAAATTTTGACCTTGACCTTTGTTGACCTTGACCTTTGTAGGATCAAACGTCATTGGCATTGGCTATCTATTTGTACTTTCATATTTGCTGTCCTATGTCAACTTCCGGTTTTATAGTCGTGTGCAATTAGAAATTTTGATGACGTATATCTCTTGATCTTGACCTTTTTAGACTTTCTCTTTTACAAGATCAAAGGTCATTGACCTTGGCTATCTGCTGATACTTTCATTTGTGAGGTCTGACGTCTACTTCCGGTATTAGAATCTTCTAAAAAATGAAAATTTCTCAACTTTAGACTGTTCTTGCGCTTGATCTAATTATCGTGGAAGGGTGATTTTTTCGGGGTCTTTTGCAATTTGCTACATTTGCAAAGTCCCACTCTGTGCCACGAGTGGCTCTAGTTGTTTTTTTACCCATAAGGGCCAAAGAGGGTCAGATTTTGGGGGCAGCTGACCCCCTCTTCCCACCACTAGATATTGTCAGTTTTTGTTTTTCTGTAATACATTTGACATAATCTATATTCACTATAATTATAAACAGTGTAGGTCATGGTCAGTTTTTTTTACCCCTTGCCACTAGGATTTTTTGTCAGTTTTTATCCCATTACGATTCAGGTTGGTTGAGCCTCATATCACAGATATTTGAAATATGTAGCTTTTAGGGTAAAAATATTTTACCCCTTTGTCACAAAATGGAGTGATTTTGGGGGCCAGCTGACACCCTTTTTCCACCAAGATATTTTGTCAGTTTTTGTGTTTTTTATCTTCCCATGAAATGTTTCTTATACTGTATTAATTTGGCATGTGTAGCTTTTGGGGTAAAATTGGTCCATGTTGGGTGACTTTTTAGGGACAGCTGACCCCACAAACCCTCCGAAATATTTTGTCAGTTCATATTATTTTGAGTTTTGAATATATGTGTAGTAACATAACCAATGTATTAACTATGTAGCTTGAATGTTAAAATAAACCTTTTCAATGGTTTTTTGACATACCCTAGGGGCCACACCCACCGGATCTGTACCAGCTGACGTACATTTTTTCAATGTCTGTCATAGTCCTAATTCATTGAAACCATCAAACCTTCTGGGTTTTTTGGGGTAAAATCACCCGTAGCTAGCTCTTGGACTAACTGTTTTACTATATGTAATAAGTCGTTAAATGCGGTAGTACATACAAAGGTCTATACGAGTGATATCACTGTGTTCACTGTGAAATACACGAGTGCTGTTCCGACTTTATTACATATTATTTTTTCACTGTTTTTTTTTAAGCAAAACATATAAATGTGATATTTACAAATATATGATGACGTCATAGAAGTGGCTGAAAGAGTTGAATCCTTTGGACTTGATTGCTTTGTGACCCTTCCCTCCAGAACAAATGCTCTCCTGCATACGATATTATTGTCCTTGGTAGGGCAACATATACAACATTGGTCATTGTCATCAGCTTATTTTTAGGTTCATATACGAAATTGTCACCCATGTCCGTCTACGAATTTTGACGGAAGTTGGTGTAATTACCGAAGGATGAACCCTATTGAAATGTTAAATATGCGTTATTGCAGTGTTCTTGAAAAACGCGTTTAATATTTAGCTCGTAAACACTCTAGAAGACACTATTCTTGACGGATTTTGGCGAAACTTTGAGTGTTTAAGAAATCCAGAAAAAAAAACGTTTATCAATTTTTAGCTCGTAAACACTAGGAGGCACAATTTTTGCCAGATTTTGATATTTTGATCGCCCCAAACGTTCAAAAGTAGTGTATAACTGAAGGTTGAATATTCCATAATGGTGATAGTTACTGTTTACCAAATATTCTGATTAAAAATCAAAGCTGACAGTGGGAGTATATTAACATGTCTAGGCTATCTTTATGTATGGTTTAATGGTAAGTTCTGTAATAAATTACTCGACATTTCGGTTTCAGTCCATCTTGAATGAGAACACCAAAATACAGCGTCTGAGAAACAGGAAATCTAGAACAACCTACTGACATGGGTTCATACTTAAGGTTTGTTTTTTACTCTCAGAAATTTGTTGGCGCATATAGCCGTCGCCTCTGTGTGTCTGTCTGTGCACACAATGAAGAGCTGGTTTCTTAAAGAAAACGAAGCCCCTGAGCTTATTGAAAATTAGAAACATTTTAATTTATTGTTTTTGTTCTAGAAAACGCGTTTAATGTTAAGTTTATAAACACATTTTGAAAGGCACAATACTCAACAGATTTTAAAGAAACTTGATGGAATTATTTATTATCACTCAAAGAAAAACCCTATCTAAAAGATTTATTTATTTATTGCCCTTGTAGCTCTTATAGTATGAAAATGTTACTCACAGAATGTTTCATTTACTGACGGCTCTTGTCAACCTCCAGGACGACATCGCTGCCATTACAATCATGGGCAAATTACGATGAACATTGCTATCTTTTATCATTCCCTTGGTTATATATGATAATAAAAAAATAATAATAAAATCATTCTTAATTGATATTTTTATGGCTATTTCGATTTTGAATACAATGTATTTGCAAAGTTTGTAAACAATGGATAGTTTATGACTATCGCCCTTCAAACGTACATGTTCTCATAATTTGTCCGTATTTTTTATTCCTCGACACAGTGGTTTCTGTTATGTAAAACTAAAAATACAGAACGACATACAGCCTGAACATTTCGAATACAGCGTTACTCTATGGAATTTACCGAAACAGCCATTGATTCGTCTTCTGGAGCACGCTGCAGATGAGGATCCACATTTTAAGTATGTACCTTCTGACCATTTGTCAGAAAAATTCTGATTGCATCAACCATTAATCACAATTCTTTGTAATATCATATTTGATATGTTTCTGGGCGAATTTTATAGCATCAAATAATAACTATACTTTTTCAAGATGTTTATGGTACATGTCGCGAGCAAGATCGTCAGGAGAATAGTTTTCTTCAAATTTTAGATGGTAATAGTTGGCATATTCTGTCCAAGTGGTGTCAAGAGCAAGAACTCAGTAATTAAATGTCTGAAATGAAATGAAATGAATGGAGTTTTACGTCCTACTTTTCTGCACCATGTGGGCTAATGAAGACGGGCAACGCCATGTAGGGTGCAATGAGGGAAATTTTGCCATTAGCCTGCTCTTTTTCGATTTCCAACTGTCGAGGGATCTTTAACGTGCACAGCCTGTAGAACACGGGGCCTCGGTTTATTGTCCGATCCGAACGACTAGACGCTTTTTTCATGTCAGCCCCTCGTACCTGCATCACTGACAGGGGGAAACCGGGTGAAAAAATTAAATGTCTGGTAATTCGAACAATTTTAGATGCTAAAATTTTTATCAAATGTATTTGATATGTAAACTGAATTTATGATTAACATATTCACATTTTGGGTCAATCAAGGGTTGATTCATAGATTAATGCGCGCAAGAAGCCATCAATCAATGGCGAGTTGAAAAATACTCTTAAGAATTTGATTAAATCAGTTTAATTTGATATTTGCAGATTTACAGCAACTTATTTTGATGGTAAAGGTTATTTTATTGATGCGATCAATGGTTTGGCCGGTGAATGGGATCCCGACAAGACCTATTGGGAAATTTTGGATTCTGATTTGAAACAGATACCAGTAGGTAAGTCATAATACGAGGTATGTCGGATATAAAACATTCTTTAGAACATTTGGTTAGAATACTGAACTTTATATCTTTGAACTCCCAATTAAAAAAAAATGCATGCCGTTACAATACACAATCTATTCAATTTTCTGATGATTGTACCATTATTTGCTATCTTACTATTAATCTCACTTTCATTTTCTATATGTTTTTTCTATAATGAACTTTCAAACGCAGAAAGTTGTGGACACACAGTGAATTTGTAATGAAGGCTAAATTTTAGGGACCAGCTTAGCTAAAATATTCCGGTTTTTTGAGACTGAGGTACGATTGGTCAAACTGATGACGAACGTGTTCCTTAAAAGGGATTGCAAACATTAAAATAATTAAACTCAACACTTACCCTGGCATTTAATGTTATTGCTTAATTCCGAATTTCAATTCTGTTTAAGAGGTTCTTTTCTAACATGTTTATTTGTATCGGGGACACCGATAGCATTAATTTGCACCATTTCGATTTTCATTCAGACGTCTGTGATTCCTGCAATTCCACGAAACAAGCAAATGAATGCTTCCGTCGAAGTCGACATGAAAAATTTCTACCATGTCTATCAGGCAGATTTTAAGAGTATAGTTTTGCTAGAAACGAGGAAATCTTTCAGTCGCTGGATGCGTACAGGCAGACATAATCTAGGTATTGATCAGATTCTTTAAAATTCTGCCAGTTGACCAGCACTCCTTCTATTCTATTTATTTTTTTTAGGTGCAAGTAGTTATAAACCTTGCAATGGCGAAGTGGTGACTTTTAACTTTAAAAAAGAGACAGACAATAAATGTCCATAACCCATGCTCATATATGATACGCAGACTACAAAGATATTGATTTGTAATTTATGACTTACTTTCTTGATTCTTTATATAGTTTCATTATATTATATTATCTCCTATATGATAACCTAGAAATGACTTTTCTATTAATTCATAAGATCAAGTAGTTATAAACCTTGCAATGGCGAAGTGGTGACTTTTAACTTTACAAGAGACAGACAATAAATGTCCATAACCCATGTCCATATATGATACGCAGACTACAAAGATATTGATTTGTAATTTATAACCTATTTTCTTGATTCCTTAAAATTTTTTATTATATTATATTATTTCCTACGTGATAACCTGTAAATGACTTTTCTATTAATTCATAAGATCAAGTAGTTATAAACCTAGTAATGACAAAGTGGTGACTTACAAGAAGCACACAATAAATAATCCATGTCCATATTATATGATACGCAGACTACAAAGATATTGATTTGTAATTTATAACTTATTTTCTTGATTCTTTATATAGTTTGATTATATTATATTATTTCCTACGTGATAACCTGTAAATGACTTTTCTATTAATTCATAAGATCAAGTAGTTATAAACCTAGTAATGACAAAGTGGTAACTTACAAGAAGCACACAATAAATGTCGATAACCCATGCTCATATATGATACGCAGACAAAGATATTGATTTGTAATTTATAACTTATTTTCTTGATTCTTTATATAGTTTGATTATATTATATTATTTCCTACGTGATAACCTGCAAATGACTTTTCTATTAATTCAAAAGATCAAGTAGTTATAAACCTAGCAATGGCAAAGTGGTGGCTTTAAAGTTTACAAGAGACAGACAATAAATGGCGATAACCCATGCTCATATATGATACGCAGACTACAAATATATAGATTTGTAATTTATAACTTATTTTCTTGATTCTTTATATAGTTTCATTATATTATATTATCTCCTATATGATAACCTAGAAATGACTTTTCTATTAATTCATAAGATCAAGTAGTTATAAACCTAGCAATGCCAAAGTGGTGGCTTTAAAGTTTACAAGAGACTAACAATAAATGTCCATAATCCATGTCCATATATGATACGCAGACTACAAAGATATTGATTTGTAATTTATAACTTATTTTCTTGATTCTTTATATAGTTTGATTATATTATATTATCTCCTATATGATAACCTGCAAATGACTTTTCTATTAATTCATAAGATGAAGTAGTTATAAACCTAGCAATAACAAAGTGGTGACTTACAAGAAGCACACAATAAATGTCGATAACCCATGCTCATATATGATACGCAGACTACAAAGATATTGATTTGTAATTTATAACCTATTTTCTTGATTCCTTAAAATTTTTTATTATATTATATTATTTCCTACGTGATAACCTGTAAATGACTTTTCTATTAATTCATAAGATCAAGTAGTTATAAACCTAGTAATGACAAAGTGGTGACTTACAAGAAGCACACAATAAATGTCGATAACCCATGCTCATATATGATACGCAGACAAAGATATTGATTTGTAATTGATAAATTTTCTTGATTCTTTTAATAGTTTTATTATATTATATTATCTCCTACATGATAACCTGCAAATGACTTCGCTAGTAGTATTAAAAATTTTTCAGGTTTTGTCTTTTATCTATCAACTATCATACTTTATGGTCTTATATTGCAATGTAATGTCCCTACTGTGTATTGGCTACAAAACCCGAAACTAGCATCTTCTTCGTTAGTATGATATGCACGCCAAAGGAGAGGGTTGTCTTCGGACTCATGGGTTGACTCGGTTACCAAGGTTTTAAAGTTAATCCACCTGTAGGAACAAGAAGGAATCAACTAAAAACAATAAACTAGTACACACCGAAAGAGTTACTACATATGTCTCTTGTACTTCTATAAAGTAGTAATTTACATCATGCTTGTAACTGCTAATTACTAAATACTGTGAGTCATACAGAAATACCGACACGGAGTTAACAGCAGGGGACAACAATTCATAGCCTAGAAACAAAATATACAATATAGAAATGTACATAGGCTCGATCACATAATGGCAATGCACACAATAACACACATTTTTAAAGTACAAAGATTCTTTCTATAATAATAATAACTAGAGCCACTCGTGGCACAGAGTGGGACTTTGCAAATGTAGCAAATTGCAAAAGACCCCGAAAAAATCATCCTTCCACGATAATTAGATCAAGCGCAAGAACAGTCTAAAGTTGAGAAATTTTCATTTTTTAGAAGATTCTAATACCGGAAGTAGACGTCAGACCTCACAAATGAAAGTATCAGCAGATAGCCAAGGTCAATGACCTTTGATCTTGTAAAAGAGAAGGTCTAAAAAGGTCAAGATCAAGAGATATACGTCATCAAATTTCTAATTGCACTCGACTATAAAACCGGAAGTTGACATAGGACAGCAAATATGAAAGTACAAATAGATAGCCAATGCCAATGACGTTTGATCCTACAAGGTCAAGGTCAAAAATTGAAAATTTTGAATTTCCAAAACCTGTTCCTTTTTTTGAACTAAGAAGCGGAAACAACCGAAATTCTAAGACAAAGTGGCTCACAATATGAGGTAATTGTATGCAAAGTTCCATTTTGAACAAATGTATACTTTGCGAGTTATGCCCCTGGCCAAAAATGTCAATAATGAGTAATTTAACCCGGAAGTGCCACGCCCACCTCTATTTCTTTTGCATAGCTTAATTAATATTCCAAATGTTACGTTATGTTCCAAATTTAAAGTTCCTACATAATAGAGGTCAAAAAATATAGGTCAACAAAAGTCAACAAAGGTCAAAATCGAAAAATGAAAATATCCAAATGTAAAAAATCCTTTTTTGGAACTATAAAGCTGAAACAACTGAGCTGTTAACACAAACAGGCCAAAAGGATGAGGTAATTGTGTGCCTTTTTGAACAAACGCATTCTATGCGAGTTATGCCCCTGCCTCTAAATGTAAACAATTAGTAATTCAACCCGGATGTGCCACGCCCACATAAGTTTTTTTGACATAGGTGAATTCATATTCAAAGTGTCTAGTTGTATACCAAATATCAAGGTTCTACATCAAATAGATCATAAGATATACATATACCAAGCTCAAAAAGTCGCAAATATTGTAAAAAAAAACCTCAAATTTAAAAAAATCACGAATTTCAATTTTGCTTTAAAAGAACGATTGTTATATATCTATGTAAAGGGCATGAGAAGCACATTAGGAAACCGAAAAAAATAACCCTCTAGGTTAAGTAGGTCACGTGCTAGAGCAGTCCAAAGTTGCGAAAGCAGAAATTGATCCATCATTTTGCCAGGATAGCGGCATTAGCCTGCTCTTTTTCGATTTCCAACTGTCGAGGGATCTTTAACGTGCACAGCCTGTAGCACACGGGGCCTCGGTTTATTGGCCCATCCGAACGACTAGAAGCTTTTTCCATGTCAGCCTTCTTACCTGCATCACTGACAGAGGGAAACCGGGTTGAAAAATCCGAAGGTATTATCTCGACCTATGCCGGTATTGAACCCTGGACCTTCAGGTTAGCGAGCCACCGCGGCTCCCACATTTTTTAAAGGGTTTAATCATAGACTAATGCGCACAGGAAGCCATCAATCAATGGGGAGCTGCAATTATCTAAAAAAAAACTCTCGAGAATGTCTTAAATAAATGTCTTGGAATGCAATAACATATTACTCGATGATATTACTCGAACGTTACTAATAAACCTTATTTGCAAAATTAAAACTTCAAGGGCAATAACTGTACTAATAACATCATAATTAAATCATTTTAATATTACATTTGCAGATTTTCAGCAATTTATTCTGATCTTTGAATTCCCAACTAAAATAATGCATGCCGTTACGTTATAATACATGCAATTTCTGATGATTGTACCAGTATTTCTTGTCGTACTACAAATCTAACTTTTTCTATATATGTCTATCATTGTGGAGAATCATTTTAACTTTCAAACGCAGCTAAATGTGCATAGACATGAATTTGAAGGCTCAAATTTCGATGGTGGGCTGCGAACACTATTACGGAGTAGCTGAGCTTTAATATTCCCGTTTTTAGACCGGTACGATTGGTCAAATGGATGACAATAATATAACACGAAATTCTTACCTTGGTATTGCTCAATTCCGCGTTTAAACTTAATCTGTTTAAGGAGGTTGTAAAGAATTTTTTGTATGTTTCGATAGCATAAATTGGCACCATTCCAATTTTTAGACAGACATCTGTGGTTCCTGCAATTCCACAAAAAATAAATTGTAAAATCGACTATTCAAAACATTCGTCAATGTGACAAGAAAATTCCTGTTTCCCAGACAGATTATGAGATTACAGTTTTGCTATGAAGTTAAACATGATCAACTTAGGCAACTGCGAAAGTTTCAGTCGCTGGATGCATACAGGTAGACATAATCTAGATATTGATCAGATTCTTTACCAGTTGACCATACATCCTTTTATTCTATTTCATTCCTTTTCAGGTGTAAGTAAGTATGAACCTTCCAATGGCGAAGTGGTGATTTTTAACTTTACAAAATACCAATAAAGGGCGATAATCCATGATCATATATAATACAGACTACAAAGATAATGATTGACATTACAGTGAAACCAAAATTTAAGATTTCTTTTTATAGTTTTAACATATAGGTATCTTACATAACTTTTTTTTTAAAAAGAGCAACATTTGCAACTGCTTAGTTTTTAGGTGTTGCAGTTGAATGTTAAAAAATGTAATCTTACTTGAAAGATTTAAGAACTCGTTTGCTTAAAATTTATTGTTGTATTAAGTATATTTCTACTGGGTTTTGCTACGTATTTTTTCGATCTGTATAAATACGTGTCAAAGTTAGCGCATTTGAAGGTGACTTTGACACAAAATGGTTTGAAATATTTAATTAAATAGATTGGAAATATGACATTTTATCAATTCAATCCAATGCACACAAAACCATTTTTTTACTATTCTGAACAGCAGCTGGTACATTGATAAGCTAACTTATTCTGTACTTTTACCTTGACTGCAATTGTTTTATTTACTTGTATTACAGTAGTTAAACGGATATTCATGCACATTAGGATTCATTTCCATGATGTTTCTTCGGGGATAAAGGACACCTCTGAAATATATGTGTGATGACTTAATTCTCTTCCACCCCTATCCTAACTCTCAATATATGCTAGCCCTTATCGATATTACCAATTGTGAACTAATTTATTATGTTTGTTTATCTTCATTGCTTATTGATTACATTGTAGTGCTTCTGTATCAACCAGTGCTTTATCACTAATCTTAGGGAGTTACAGATGTCAGTTTTTTACTGTATTTATACTTGTCGTTCTGTTTAATATCCATATTCTCATTCCAACTACTACGACTACCAACAACTCCCTAGTTTGAGATATTAGTATCCGCTGGAAGCGAACGTTAAGACTTCTACCGACCAACCAACCTTTACTATCTTTATTATTTCGTGCTTGATAAAGAGTCCTGTATGTGAATTGAAACGTTGCATAAATTAAAGGAAGGAGTAGTATATCCAAAATAGTGTTCTTATTAATTCAATAAAATAATTGTTCTCTTTTTCTTTGACTTTCTTTTCTTTTATGAGTAAAGAACTCAACAATGGTTGCATAATGCGTCACCTATTTTCGTGGAAACTGCTTAATAAGACAAACACGTTATGTCTTGACGTCTTGTATCAGATATATTATAAGAACTATTGAGTACTGTTTTTGAATTATTTAAGTACAGGTTTTAACTTAATCAGTTGCAGGCAGGACACCGGAGAGACAACACGGTTGCAGCATTGCTGTGGTGTTGTTTTCTGGGCCTGGTTTCCTGTCGAGAGATTGCAACTCTTGAGTCGGATCTGCATGAGTTAGGACGAAAGGCTAAAAGAGAAAGGTATTGGTGCTTTCACTGTTCTTTTTTTTTTGAGAGGTTCTTGTTTAACATTTTGATGATTGGATATTTCTGTGACTGTGATATTTGAATGTCATTTCTAATTTGGTCTGTGTGGAGGCCACCAAACCAGGCTGGCTCAGATATGTAATAGAATTACCAGAATTGCACAACAATCTCTTAATCAAATATACTTCAATGTTACTTTCATTTTCTATATATGTCTTTCCCATTATTGGCGGAGAATCAAGAAAGTATGAGTCTTCATTTTAACATTCAATCACGGAGAATAAGGGCAAACATGGATTTGAAGGCTCAAATTTCTATGGTCAGCTGTGAACACAATTAGTGATTGGCTTAGTTAAGGTACAATTGGTCCAAAATTGTCACCTGTTTTTTTGTGAGTACAATGTACATTATTATCAGGCATATTAAGACGGTGGGTGCATAAATCATATCTTTTAACAAACACTTGTTGACAAAATACACTTGCAATAATTTACAATAGTCAGCCGCGCTATTCAACACGGATCTAAAATAAATATAGAAGAAATCGCATAACAAGATGGAGACGCTATTGAAACGTATATGTCTTGTTCTTGCTCTGTGTTGCTTATTCACAGTAGATGGATCTTCCCAGGCGACAAAGAAAGACCATTCTAAAACAGCCTATCCAAAGACACCACCAAGGTAACACAATTTGATTATTAAGACTTCAGACTAGAAATATAGTTGTGACATATCAATTGATTCATTCGAGTTCTTTTTTTCGTCACGTCTAATTACCAACAATTTATCAATAACAGCAAGGCATAAAGATATCCATTCGGATCAGGCCTCTACTAAGTTATAAAAACAAAAGTGATTAATAATATTAAAACATAGTCTCAATGAAAATTCAAGTATTAGGTTCTTGGCATATGTACTTCGGTATCTAGATGATCAGTTATTTTTATGCATTTCTTATGCTTTGTGTCTGTTTTTCCATCACGAAAGGATTTGGCGTAGGCTTCTTCCGTGTTTGGGTTTGTTCAACTTGGTGACATTTTGTAAGGTCAAGTTGACTATTGACAAATCATTGAAGCTATATCCGGTTTGTAGTGAGTGTTGCAATACATAAATAAACTTGATAAAACATCATTATGTCGTTGGTATAAAGTTAAGATGTCAATAAAATTGACTCGAAAATGCTTTTCGCCATGATAGGTGATTACATCTATATAAGTTGGTCCAGTGCATCAAGAACTGTTTTAAGCTAAATGCCATCATTCTTAATATGATGGCCCGAATGCACCAAATAGAATTAAGCCTAATTTCATTCTATTCTGCCCGAATAACATTCACCACATAAATTTATCTTAAATATATTTAAAATTGGCTAATTAAATGCTAATTCCGTTTGTAAATCAGGGAAATCCCCTTTGTTGCTCTAAAGGGTTTTCAAAATGGACCAATTTTTAGTCGACTAAGATGGATTTCTATATAAAGACATGTCACAGATTGCAACTTTTTCATGCTTTTCTTTTCAAATTTTTAAATCCGGGCCATTGCATGGCACATCTACTTCCCAAAATAAGAAATAAGCAATGGAATTCATATCACATTAATTCTGGCATTTATTTTTTCCACCTGAGATAGAAGTCTTTTATCTAACCCTTGCTGATAATGTTCACGATAGTTCTAAGTTGCGAGTTGAGAGTCCATAGAGTTTAGTAACAAGATAAATCCACTTTTCGACAGTGAGACAATTATCAGAAAAAATCTGTCCAGCTTTTTCATTTGTCATATATATATTTGGTATAGTGGGTGGTTCGAGTGGACAATTAGGTATCAATTACATTACAGTATGAGTATAATAAGTTAATAGTAAGTTGGTGCATACAAGAACTAGAATTATTTCTCATTACATTTAACTAAATCTATTTAAGGTTTAAAATAATTCTATTCTATTTGCTGCATGCGGGCCAATATGATAAAAAATAGTCGTAGATACAAATACAATTTTTAAATTAATTCACGATATAGCTGCAGCCATTATTTGGATATGAAATATTTGCCAAGCATTTGGAACTTTGATAAATGCAGAAATGTAACAAAACTTGTATGTTTTCAATATTCTGGACATCCATTTTCGCCCTCACAATTTTCATTGATGGAATTCAATTTGCAAAGTTGTAATTAAATTGAATGTGGTGTACAAGGTCCTTTCCTTTCACAATTTGCCCGCATGATTAATGATTAATTTCTCGACATTGTGGTTTCAGACCTTCTGATTGTGAGAGCTTCGAGAAAATTGATGTCCATCTAACATTACAGAACCAACTACAGCCAGAATACTTCGAATACAACGTCACTCTACATGATGTACCGAAGCATCAACTGATTCGTCATCTGGAGCTAGCTGCAGAAAAAGATAAACATTTCAAGTAGGTGTTGTTAAGCACTGAGCTAAATGTCAGAAAGCAACAATTAAAAAATCGTTCATCGAAAAACTTGACCAAGATCTCCTGAATATAAATCAAATTTCAGAAAAATCAGATAAAAATTAGCTAGCAATGTATTTGCTATTTAAACTGAATGGCATATTTCATATTCAAATTCCATGCTGGGGGTTGATTTGAGTCTTGAATATGTAAATAGTCTTCAGAAGTACCGATACCAGAAATGTACGGAAATCGCATAATTCCTTCAAAATATATCAACAAGGAATTTCTCCTCCTATTTCTATAGACGTCTTAACTATATGACAGTGTCTCAAGAAAGGACTACTCGTCTTTTAACTTTCAAACGCGGATACTTCTGGATTTGAAGTTTCAAATGTCCACAGTAAACACAATTGGCATAGCTAAATAAAACGTTTCTGAGACTGAGGTGCAAAATGGTGCATATACACAGTAACACTTATTTTACTCAATAAATATGAAAATTATTTTCGATTTAGATTTTAATCAACCTCATTTGCGAAATTATAACTTCAAGGGAAATAACTCTTTATTATTAAATCACTTCTAATTTAATATTTGCAGATTTTCAGCAACTTATTTTGCTGGTCTGGGATATTTTATTGATTCGATCAATGGATTATTCGGTAAATGGAATCCCGACAAGACCTATTGGGAAATTTTGAATTCCCATTTGGAACAGACAGAATTAGGTAAGTAAGAAAATTATATGACGCGTTGTCATTCTTCGGTACAATTGGTTAGAATACAGAGGTTTTCTTATAGTTTTATCGTGTATCGTGAACACCGATAGCATTTCGATTTTCATTCAAACGTCTGTGGTTCCTGCAATTTAACAAAAATAAATATTAATATCGTCTCAGGTTGTCTAAGCCAATCAAAGCATCCGTCGAAGTCGACATGAAAAAATTCGGTTTCCCAGGCAGATGATGAGATTGCAAGTTTGCTAGGAAGTTGAACATGGTCAACTGATGGATGCGTATTGGTAGACTCTATTGATCAGTTTTTTTGAAATTTTACCATTTGACAAGCCCTCCTTTTATTCTATTTCATTTCTTTTCAGGTGTAGGTAGTTATGTACCTACTCATGGCGAATTGGTGACTTTTAACTTTACAAGAAGCACAAAATAAATGTCGATAACCCATGATCATATATGATACGCAAACTACAAAGATATCGATTTGTAATTTACAAAAAATTATAGCAAAACCTGTTGATCGGGGGGAGGGAGGGGGGGGGGGTTACGTAGTAACTAAATTTTATTGTATTTTGTATGACTCGTGCAAAAGTATACATCAATAAGATATTTCTTTAAAATATGTTTTAATATATTATAAATTATATAGGCCCTTACATAATCACGGCCAAACTGTTGATCTTTGAGGTGTAGCAGTTGAATGTTTAAAAATATTTTCATCGTTTTGGGAACTGATAGAGCCAGCTGGAACTTCTAATATTGCTCTCAAATCCATGGTGCGTTATTTGTCATTGACCACAAATTAATATTTATTCTTATTTTGATAATTAAATCACATCAATTGATTTTGCTGCGTTATCATAACGTACATCACTAACATTAATGTACACGAATAATCATGATAATTATGATAATAAAATTTTTTTTAAATAATTCATTTGTTGACATTCCAAGATTTGAGCACAATTTCTGACCCAATTCGAGGATTTCGGAATTTTACACCCACCGTACTGTTAGTCTAAGAATGACTTGACCTTTTAATATTAACATGAACACGTTTTAATATTAACATGAACTCCTTTTAATATTAACATGAACACCTTTTATATGAACATCAACGCACATTATCTCTATGAAATCATTTTATTATTGACAAATTTCAACAACAATTTAGGACATTTTGTTGAAACTTCTGGGAAGAAAGTGTGTTTCTATTCAATGTAAATTTACACACCAAAAATCATTAATTTATTCGTATAAAGATTTGACAGTCGGAAAATATTGTTCGCTGTTCTGAAATTCACAAAGTTTCGTTTTGCCTACAGTAACGCAATGATATGAGACGATTTCTTTAATGAAAACAAAACTCTCCCAAATATTTACATTCTAAACCCAGACAATGGCAGAAGACAAAAAGCTCCACAATTCCCCTTAAACACTTCAGAAGTCAGAAATTTGACCCTGGACCACGAAGTCGTGTGTGGGACAAATGGTTCAATGGGTTACAGAAGAAAAAATCGCGAACGAGAAAAAAATGCTGTCTGTAATGAAATAATGTTGTCATGAAAGTGTGGGCACAGGAGATATTGTACTCCAGATTCGCGTCGGCGACAAAAATCGTCGTCCAAAACCGTTCGTGAGCCCAAAGCATTACATGCTATTATAATAATACAGATGAGGTCTATTCAGTTATGATACGAAATCTATATAAGTGCTTTTAGTTAGTATATTGTTTGGGATGACATATAATATGTGCATTAAGCGTACCCTTTAACTAGTCCACACTCTCGAGCATGAAAGGCTTATTGCAAGGATTGTGGGTAAGAGCAGATAACTCTTGTTTGAAGATGGACTTTGATTTGCTAGAATAGCGTAGTGATTTTGGCACGGTCAAATCACTGTGTAATTAAAAAATTCGCAAGACGAAATAGTTTTCATTTTTATCAAATTTTTCTATTCAAATAACAGTATTTCATGAAAAATTTATTTCATTATGGTATTTGTAAAATATAAAGTATGCAGTAACAATTACATAAATATAGATTCATAAACTGGATAACATTCTTTGTAGCACTGATACGTAAATAGATATTGCGTCTTTAAACACGAGGTCCTTGTTGATAAATACAAACAATATTTATACATCAGGTTACCGTGTCATTGAATACGAGTGTATTAACTTAACTATAAAACAGATCGCATAACAAGATGGAGATCGTATTGAAACATGTATGTCTTCTTGCTTTGTGTTGCATTTTCGCAGTAGCTGGTTGTAACCGAGGGAAAAGTAAAGACGATTCTCATATAGCCAGGTAACATATTGAATACGGAAACTTTGAAAATCTGTTCAATTCATTTTTTTGATTTTTTGTAAATTCTTCTAAATTAATTTTGCTGCCAAACATCAATGTCGCTTCAATGATGGTACCACATCTAGTCGATCAAACCTTCACCTTCAAATGTTTCATATAACTGGATTCTCGGCCCCCGTCCTTCAATATCTAGAAGAACAGTATTATGTGTTTTTACGTCTTATGATTTGTTGTCTGTTTTACACGTAGGGGCTTATGTAATGAAGACATTTTTTACATAACCACCATATAAATTAAATTACAAATGGAAGATATCCGGGATATATTGTACTGTTCAAAATGTTATAATATTGAGGAGTGTTACTAACTTCGTAGTTGAAACTAACTATTATAGCCAAGGTTTTCGTCCACAGGGACTTGTCCCCAAGTGGGAGCATTCGACATGGCACATGCTATGAACAAAAGTATCCAACTACAATATACTATACGAAATCTCATAAGACTAACATTTTCTTTTAGTATTCGGAGAATTATTTGCAGCATTATGTACTTCATGCTACCCTAGGCCGTGCCTGATATCCCATCCAAGTTTCATTTTCGATATCCGGGCACATTGTTTTCATGCTAGATACGTGTATGGGGACACACAAAAACAGGTTTTAAAACCATCGCATTCTTTGTTACGGTCCGCTAAGTATATTATGTACGCCCTTCGCCAACACATATATAATAGATAACACATATATCTATCGCGACTCAAAATTGTTTTCAACACGATAGTTGATTACGTCTTTGTTTAAATTTATTTCCAATAGCTTCAAATATGTACAAACGCAATTTCACTAACAGTGAATCGTGTCAATTATGTGGTTATACAAAAGAAGATATATTTCATGTTATGTTAAAATGTTCAGGTTATGAGGCCATTAGATTACGTTGATACCAAGCTACATTATAGAGCCAGGTAATCTTTATAAAGTTTCTAACCTATGTTCAATAACTGATGTAACACAATTGAGATCTATTTCATTGTATATAGATAACGCAATGGCATTCAGATCAAAGTGAAGACTGTTTAATAAGTTAAGATGATTTAACTTAATTTGATTATTTCATTGTCATATTGACCATACCATTTTCTAGAATCAATTATTATATAACTATTATTGTATATATGAATATGTATATTATGAATTGATGTATCTATGGGCCTGTTGTCATCTTTACTGAATAAACTATTATTATTAATATTACGTCTTTAGAATTAGGGCTTCTTAAATCTCATTTAGAACAATTTGGAGTGTATTTCCTTCAAACTTGTGAGAAGTTTGAAGAAAATTAGTTATCATTTCGCGTATACAGGTACCAAATCGATAACATTTAAAATATTATGATTTAGTTGCCAAGTATTTGTAGCATTTTTCATTGTACCTGGATCTCAAAAACATAAATATCCATTTGATTAAAAACGTAAAATTTCTTACATTTTCGCTTTTATATTGTTCATTTGATATTGTCATTCATTTGGTAAAGTTTTATGAAATTCACATTTCTTAACTAGCGTTCTTTAAGCGTGCCTGTAATACTAATTTCTCGACATTGTGGTTTCAGACCTTCTGATTGTGAGAGCTTCGAGAAAATTGATGTCCATCTAACAATACAGAACAAGATACAGCCAGAATACTTCGAATACAACGTCACTCTACATGATGTACCGAAGCATCAACTGATTCGTCATCTGGAGCTAGCTGCAGAAAAAGATAAACATTTCAAGTAGGTGTTACTAATCCTTGAACCAGATGTCAGAAATTCGTTTGCAACGACTTTAATATTATTATTTCTTCTCGTAATTTGGTTAGTGATTAAGTCGACTTTCACTTTCAATAATAGTTTTAAGCGCTACACTCTAATGCTATGGTATAACATAGCTTATGTTTTTTTCATTCTTTGTGATATTAACACCCGCTGTAAGCGAACATAAGTCTGCCATCTACCAAACAACTAAGCCTATTGCATTGAAACATTATATACACTTCAATAAACATAATTTGCTGAATTTTTAATTCAAGGGAAATAACTCCTTAGTCCAATGATGAAATTACGTCGCTAGACAGAGTATGCTTACTCTGCTAAACACCTGATAACCACTTTTCATTATGAAATACTTACTCACTTACGATAGATATAATTTCTCGTGGGAGGAGTTTATTAGCTGCGACCAATGTTTCGCCTTTGTGTTGTTTTTGTATTTCGGGTTTCATTTTGCGGTTCGGATCGTTAGTACTTGATTAATTTATTGTAGGTTTTCATCAACTTATTTTCCCGGTATGGGGTACTTTATAAATTCGATCAATGGTTTGGCCGGTAAATGGGATCCCGACCAGACGTTTTGGGAAATTTTGAATTCTGATTTTGCACAAGTAGATGAAGGTAAGCTATTATGGAGTTCTGTAGCATAGTCTGTTCAAGAGTCATGTGCCTGGTTACGTCGCACAAATAGTGTTCGTAGGATTCACAGTCGGCGTCTACTAATCCGATGACCTGCCCTTGTAATTTCAGTCGACCAAGCTGTAAATTGGTACGGAAAAATCAATTGAAAGAAGTTGGTTAAGCACCAGTTAGTAGAAAGAATAATTTGTAATCCTTGTCAAATTTAGTTGATTCTTTCTTTTTCTTCTGAATTTATATGACACGAGCTCCTATTCCAGATTGTAATTGATCAGATGCCGGTAGTCGCTTTCAATCGTTGGTAATTAACTGATCAAAAAATATATCAGTCTACCTAAGCTATTCTTTTACCTATTCTAATTGATTTATTTTCAGGTGCAAGTTACATACCCAATCATGAAGAATTTGTAGTTTTTAACTTTACCAAAAGCAGCCATTAAAGAGCGAAAAACTTAAATATAATACGCAGACTACAGAGATATTGACAGCCCTTGGAACAAAATCTGTTTTAATAACTGTGCTGTACCCAAATATACACACAATTTCAATAGTTTTCTGTTTGTCAATTTAAGCATATGAAGCACATCACAGGTCTGCAGGGGCGTATTTAGATAATACCGTAGATGGAGGCCAAAATTGAAAGGTGTCTCTCCGAGGCGAGGCGAGGCGAGGCTCAAAGCCCCTTGAAGCCGGGGGCTGCAAGATGCTCCAGGACAACAGACAGGACAACAGATTACAGATGGTCTGAGATCAATTTTTAGAAGTGAGAGGGCTTAATTGTCACTTCGGAATAAGACTTTTCACAGGCCTGGGGGAGGGCCCTAGCACAATGTCCATTCCCTTTGATACGGTACTGGAAGTATGAAACCTGTGTTGACAAAATAGTGTATAATAACATCGATAGTTGAGCAACATCACTGTTGAAATAGTGCTCAATAACATCAATAGTAGAGCAACATCTCTCTTAAAATACATCAATTGTAAAAGGGTTACACTGTTAAAATAGTGCTTCAGACATAAATTGTAAACGGGTATCACTTTTAGTAGTTACCTCCCTTCAACTAATGGCTGATGGGAGAAAATATCACACAGCTACAGAATGATACAAAATGTTTTTAAAACGTTTCGCTATATAAAGGAATGAGAAAAAACTGAATTGAACGCCATCAAAAGCATCGCGTCCTGATCTATGAATTATAACATTTTCGAAACATTTTGTATTAGACCTACTAATCCGGCTCTAAACGTTGCTTCCAACCTTTTATAGGTCGTTATTTTTTTTTCTTCATTTCACCACGTTAAATGTCAAATTTCGATAGGTTTTATATAATTGTTTTTAAAAATCTATACTAAGATGAAGCACTAATAGTGACAAATTGTCAAAATTCTAATATGATTTTGGTTGTTCCCCCACATACACATTTACTTTAAGTTTCAAGGAATAATAATGATGTAAAAATTTGATACCTTCAATCTTTTTTCCGTCGTAAAGCTATTTCGGTATCAAAGAAATCATTTAAATGCTAGATTGATTCCAAAATCTAGTAGTAGCCTTATCTTGATTAGAAAAGCAATTGTATAGTCAATATGATAGAATTAAGTTCAGTCTAGCTGTAACTGGCTTCTTTACTTCATTTCAAGTCTTCATTAAATGGTGTAATTGTTTTCAACTCCTCCAAATCGAACTGGCGACGATGGTATTGAAGTTGGCCGAGTTTTAAATCTTAAAGAGTTTAAGACGAATGTTTCACAGTTAAAACGTCAACTCAATGAAGACTAAAAAATTACTAAGTTGGAATTTTGACGTCATTGGCTTGGTTACGACTTAGTAATGAAGGTCGTGGGTTAAATCTCGACCAATGCTTGAATGTTTATGAACTTGAAAAGATACAGTTTTTCCTTATTCATTGAAACCCTACATGTACATCGGTCATAATTGTCTGAGGAATATCATTGATAACCAGAACCGACTGGCAGATAAGGCCCTCAAAGATTGTTTGTGAAACATATACTCAATATTTTCTCAATATATTAAACATAGATTTTATTACTTAGTGTAGTAAGTTAGAAGAGAATAAAACTGAATTTTTCTTTAGATGATTGGTGATTTCGATAAAAAAAAAAAACCTTCCAATAACAGAATTTGTTGCCATTTCTAGCATTTATTTTGTATTTAACAGAATTTCTTTGCTGAGTCAAGTTACAAAGTTTGTTATAAACTCTAGACACACGAAAAAAGATATCTTAAAAGCTGGTGAATCTTAATGCAAAATATTGATCCGGAATGTATTTCACGCAAAAAGAGGAAACGTCTAAATTAGTTTTCTTAGTTAATTGAGCTGTAGATAGAAAATGGCCATTTAGACTGACAGCCAAATAGCCACTTTTAGAGACCCGTGAAATTCAAACTTACTCTGAAAGGACGTGATGTCTTTTTTTCTATGAATCACGGCATCTGGAATAACGAGGAGGTCAGAAAAAGGCAAATTGCTATTTGGCGCTTGGATTGATTTTAATTAACTTATTCATTGTCTTATAATACCACGATTCTAAAAGAAGAAATTCTCTGTCGGGAATGTCTCCGGTTTGTTACCTCCCAATGCGAAGGAATTGACTGAAGATTATTACTGATTAAGAAATGTAATCTTGAAATCCAAGATGGCCGCCAAAAATAATTTCTAGAGTTGGAGCCATTAAATTATGTCTAAAACTCTATGTTAGCTAAATATCCTGAAATTTGGATACATTTGTCCGCTAGATAACGCTTTGTTTCAAATTATGCACTAATAAAACGGAAACCTTCTAGTGGGGAGGTAGATTAAATTTGAGTGAAAATCCTTATCTAGGCCTAAGTTTGGAGCGAACATTGAGAGTTAGCTAGGATATTCCAAAACTAAGGATAAAACATGGAATAACAGACCAGAGCTACGGAATCGGAAAATATATTATTCCTGCGTCCCTGAACAATTCCACTCCCATGGACTTACTGTCTTAGGATTTATAATTTTGAAAAAATACATTTATACAGAAATGTCTTATGTTCGCCTGCATCATTTTGGGTGAATGACGGGTAACGCAATGACCCTTCATTTCGATTGTTAACTGCGGCGCCTGTAGCATACAGAGCATCTGGTTTTAATGCCTTATTCGGCAGACTCTCTTCCCTGCCTGCCCTCCCGATCTGTATCACTGACAGGAAAAGTGTACTGCCTCCAATAGTATATTTGTATGCAAAGCAGGATCTCAAGATATTCAAGTGTCTTAAGGTTCGTCGATTAATAAATTTTTCCCTTCCCTTCTTCCCACCAGAATTAATAATATTTAGACGGCAGATTAGTTGAGCACAGATGGTGTTCAACCTTTTACTTCAACCAAACACATGGTCGATTTTTTATGATGCAAGATAAGCAAACACGGTAAAATTGGGGAAGAGGCACACTTACCAGTGGTTCAAGTAATGTTTATTTTTTTAACATCGAGTTATAAGTACCATTTAGACACGATGGTTAAAGTTGATGTTAAGTTGAATAATGTTTATATAGTGGTATTTCCTAGATCTGTTCGGGTTCATCTCATTTCTGTCCTTTAGAACATCCTCTTAAAGGAATACTACCTCTTAGAATGGACATAAAATGTCAAGTCTCATACTTGGTCAACTAATGTACTGGACTTACCAGGTGCCATGACTTATTGGAACACGCTTCTAAGCATGTTTCAAAATTACTTTACCTATAAACGTTGTATTGTGAATTTATAAAACGGTCAGATTGAATTTTAATCACAAACCTACTTTTCGCTCTGGTTGTGCCACATCAGTTTTTTTTTCAGGTTCATCTTCATTTTATTTTCACACACACACCAAATTTAAAATGAAATGAATGGAGTTTTACGTCCTATTCTTCTGCACCTGATTGAGCTAATGAAGACAGGCAAAGCTTTGCAGTATGCAATGAGAAAATTTCCAACTGTCGAGGGATCTTCAACTTGCACAGTCTCAAGGACACGGGGTTTTGGTTTAATGTCACATCCGAACGACCAGACGCTTTTTTTTAATACAGATCGTTTTAAATTAACTGCGAACGGGTGAACAGATGTGGACTATGTGCTACATAGAAGGATAAATAAAACTATCGATAACGCAACGCTAACTATATCTAAATTCTTGACTAGTACTGCATCATCTCACTGAATGAGGTATCTGTCAAATTGACGAATTTCAAAATAAAATGCGAAATTGTTAAAATAAACACCACTTCAAACCAAATCTTCAAAGCGTGCCGGGGTGCATCAAGGTGCTCTACTGACATCAATTGTATTTCTACTTAACATAAATGTCTCAGTGTATATCGTTTTCAATAAATATCAACCAAAGTTCGTAAACAATCCTTTCAGGTGTACGCCAGTTTCCCTATGCCATGGAATAGTAGTCTAAGAGACCATCTGAAATTCTCTGTAGACTGAGCAACCCGAATCCATAAATATAATATTGAGAAGAACGAGATCCCGAGTAAGGGGTTTTCATTAGACCGAAAGATATTTGTGCATGCAGCACGCAGATAGTTTTCAGGCCTTACGTGGGAATCTGGGGCCCGTTTCAAGAAATATTAATATTCAATCAAGGCGTACACGACATGCAGTTAAACGATTGGTAAATAGAGCTCAATTTTAGAAAGTGACCGATCGAATTACTGTAACATTCGACGGTTTTATTTACATTGTCTTGTCTCTTGGATTTGCTCAAGACGTTCGACGTACATATTAATGACATGGGCGTGCGTTTTGGTTAAATTATTTTACTCTTTAGTAAAGCGAAGATGGATCTGACATGAATGATTTACAGTTTATGAAATGAAGAGCAGCACAATCAAAGTCGGCGTGTTCTTTAAACAAACGATCTAGAATTTTACATATATTTATCTTACAAGATCTCTTAATTATAAATCTCGAGGGTTCCACTTGTATTACAGAACGACCAAACAAAAGCCAGATGCACTTGAAGATAACGTAAATAAATTCAGATAAAATAAACTTTGTAAAATAAATTGATTAAACAAAATCATACATCTAGTAGGAGACTGGTCTAATAATTAGGTCACCAAATCTGCTTCATAACTAAAATGCAGTGCCAAGTCTAATTGTAAGCCTAACTCTGTGGTTCCCCTTAAAATCGTCAGTACAAACTGGTCAGAACAGAACTTAGGTCCAGCTACATCAGATAAAGAGTTAAAAAAGAACTTCCATATCAATCATATGCGGAGAAAATTCATTAGCAAGAATTCTAATTCTTAAAACTGAAGTCTAATGGATACCAATGAACGGAATTCAAGCCAGAACCTATACCTGTCTCGTCGTGAAATTTAAATGACGGGGAGAAATTGTGATTCATTATCAGCCTTGATTTTGGATCATAAAAAGGTTATCGATGATCCATCAACTCAGTTAATTAACACAAGTGATAAAACAATATTATTTATTAAAATTTCCATACTAAAAGTTCACAGTCAAAGGTTCAGGTTCTGGTCCTGTATCATGACCACAACAAACCTCGAACTG